AGGCGCTGCCAAGGTAGAGGAAGGGAAGGATTTCCACAGGGCCACCCTGTTACAGAGAAAAACAACAGATATGGGGGTGACCAGGACACACATCCAGACGGCTTGGAGGCTCTGAGCAGTGCAGGAACCTGGCACCTGATCCAGGGCCATCAAAAATAGGGAGCAGAGGCTGCCTTTCTGAGCTGCTAAACCCATTTCAGCCCTCCCCCACTTCATCCTGTCCAGGAACAGGCAGGTGTTGTTAATGGGATTTGGGCTTGTCCACTCCCCAGGGAGCACAAACACCCTTGGGATCAGGAGGACCACCATGCTCTCCCATGACAGGAAAGGGAGCAGGGCTCTGGCTCTGCAGGCCTCAGCTGAGGGAGAGCACAGAGACTCCAGCAGGACCAGCTTGCAATGCTGGAAGGAGCAGCCAAAACAGCTGAGCACCGGGCTTCTAGACATACCTGGTCATGAAGGGGGGTCCCACAGGAACTGCAGCCCAAATCCAGGGGCTCGGCGCTGGTGGGAGGTGACACATTGCTCAGGGACTTGGTTTTTGCACAGAATTCAGGGTACTCCGAGGAGAAACGCTCATAACCCCCTGCAAGAGGTGAGGCACAAAGTGTTATCCCAAGCTACGTTCACTGCAGAACAGCATAGCCAGAGCTGACGCGTCTCACTGTGCCCTTCGCCACTAGATGATGCTACAGTAATGGAGAGTGGTCTCCTGCCCCACGATGAGCAACCAGGCTCCTGGAAGCAAGGGGGGAAAATCCTTGAGGCCCCACCACTCCCTTAGAGCAAGAGCTCCAAGAGCTCTGTAATGCTCTTGGCTGCCCAAAGTCTCTGGTCTGGGGGTTAGGCTCCCTGCCCACCATTGGCCAAAACCCCAGACCGAGGCCAAGGTTGCTCTCTAAGATAATGGAGAGAGGATTCATTGTCAGCATCCTCTGACTTTAATGGGAAAAGCTGCTCCCAGGCCAAAGACGGTTCAGTTCCTAGCTTTCCCAGACACACCATCCTGCCACAAAGCACAGGGAGGTCTCCCACCTTCCCAGCCTGACCCTCCAGCCCAGAGCTCCCAAAACAACAGGCTAGGGAAGCCCTTGCACTGGCCGGGTCGAGAGAAGCTAACCCCACAGCAAATCCGCTCTCCAGAGGTCTCCACTGCCTCTCAAGGACATGGGTACAACCTGAACATGGAGGTGAGCACGCTGTGAAAGAGCAGCTTGATCCTTTGACGTGCTGCCAGGGGGATAAGCAAAGGTGACCTCAGATCTTCCTAATGGCAGGCAAAACAAGAGCAAACCCCAACACCTTCCCAGGACAGGGAAACTGCGGTGTTGGGTGCAAATAAACACTTCTGGTGAGCTTTCCTTCTCTCATTCAAATCAAATCAACAACCCTGACATACTTGTAGAGTCTGACCTTGAGCCTTAAAACCAAAAGAAATTAGGTATTTTACTATCACCAGAGGAATCTAGCTAGACCAAGCCCCAGCTCCCAGGATAGTTCCTGAAGACTCACCCCAACTGCAGGACCTACGCCTGCAGATTCGGGCTTGCCAGCGCACACGCAGCAGGACACGTATTCCTTATCCTGCCCTGAGCGAGGCTGGATGTTCCAAAGACCAGTGGACACAAGCATCTCCAGCAAAGCAGCCCAGGACTTCCTAGGCTGCTAGAGACCCATCCAGCATCTCTGTGTCCTTTATGGTTTCCTCCACCTTCGCAAGGAAGGGCTTTAGTACCTTAAAGAAGAAACCTGCACGTGCATCGCTGAATGCGCATTGTCCCTCCCGCGTGAGCGGGACAGTTTGCAGAGGCTGCGTTTCCAGGGCCTGACATCCCTTTGCAGTCCTACTGGTTCGATTTGGAGGAGCACCCACAAACAACTGCCCCTGTTAGACATCTTCGGGAGGTCTGATCCTAAAATCCCTGGATCTACCACATCCCACTCCGGTGGCCATCGCACCACCCGGGGTGATGTGTGCAAATGGGCTCCCTCCTTTCCCTCCGACGCCTGTTCCGCCAAGCGCCACATCCAGCAGCTCCATCCAGCGGTGCGCAGATCCCGGCTGCGCGCCCAGGCCCTGCCCAGCACAGGAACCAGGCTGTGCAGGTGCCCGTCACCAAACACCACCCAGCCGGGCTGTTTCACAGGGAAACTGGCAGCCGCCTGATTTGCACAAAACAGTTCCAGGTCTTCATCATGACCCGTACCCAATAAATTTGCATTTGGACAGGCACAGTACTGGGTTAGCACAGCTCTTGTGAAATCAGAGCGAGCCTGGTGATTTTTAGTAGCTCGGTGGTAAGCGAGGACTCTAGTGCCGAGACTGAGTCTCTAGGAGCCCGTTCCTTAAAAAAAAAGACCGGAAACCCCGAACAACCTCCCATGTGAGGCTCAGGGGCACCAGAAGCCCTCAGCTGACAAAAGGCCACCCTTGAAGCGCAGCAGCGTTTCCTGCCACATACGTGGCTCCCAGCACCACGACGGCTCGTGGCGAAGGACCCGAAAGCACGTTCCCGAGCGAGCCCTTGCTGCGCAGGCACTCCCGCAGCAGCGCATCATATCGCATCCTTAGAACAGCTCCTGCTGTTTTTACTGTCTCTAGTACAACAGAAGCGCTAGTTCCTCCATCCATCAAGCCTCTTAATGGATTTGCTACTCCGCATACACATCCTCACCCCTGCTGTAAGTAAACCGAGGAATAAATTAACTCTCAGGCTGTAAACAAAAAAGAAAAAGCCCCACAGAGCTCATCCAGGAGCCCCGGCTGAGCACCCCCCTCCCCTAAATCACCTCTCGCCATTCTCAGGACCAGCAGCTCCAACCGCTCACAGCACCTCATTTAACACCTGCCGAAGCTGAGAGCGTGGGGGG